TATCGAATACAAATCAAGCTTTTCAAAATAAAAAAACATTTCCTTCCTTTTCAGTTTGTTTCTAAACGTTAATTTCACTAAAAGCTACCTATGACCATATGATTGTCACAAAGTGGACGAAAAATAATTAAAAATCCAAAAGGAAGAGAAGAGGAATTAAAATGTAAAAACCCAAAAAAACTTACTAGTTACTTGATGTGGGAAGGCTCGGAAAGGTGAAGGATCAAGGATGGCAACAACTTGGACTTGCTAAAGATGAGAAAAGGGGAAAAGAAGAGGGTGGAAAGTTTAGAGAGTGGAGACAGGACGTAAAAAAAGGAACTAAAAAGATTAGATTAGGTAGTTAGGTTTAGGAATTTGTTTCATGTAAAATCTCCAAGATACCTTTATTTGGGTTTGATTAGTTCGGTTAAAAATTTTTCTAACTAAAACTGAACCGAAATAATTGTACTAACTGAACTATCCTAACCGAACTATCCAAAAAACTGAACTAACCAAACCGAAAAAGATAAACTCATTTCGATTCAGTTCGGTTTATATTTTCTAACCCTAGGAGTTAAGAACAAATTTCAAGAGCTAAAATTTAGAGTAGACACTAAACCAAGCTGCCTTATAGGGATATTGCATGAAAAACAAAATCAAGGACATTAACAAACTGACACTAAAAGGTTGAGTCAAACTTTTTTTATTGTTCTTAATATTTGGATAGTCAAGACACATTTTTAGATGTCAATCTTGATTTAGAAATATCAACTAATCAATTTGAGAATTGATGATGAATGCAAATGTATTCGATTCATCTAATCCGAATTTGTTCGAGATTATAATTCATATTTATTAGCAACATGCTACGAACCTAATAAGTCACACATTAAAAGATGTCAATTTAAAAATGTAAATGTAACACCCCCGATCTTGATGTTAGCTATGCATGATGTTGAACTAGCTTATAGGTTAATGTGAACTTCAATGTGTATGTTTATGAACTTAAAGAATGCCTATGTCCATAGAGCAGTGGTCGTGAAATGTATAAATATGTAAAGCTAAAATGATGTTATGCATATGCTTGGCACATGAACAATATAGTGCATATGTTTGGCACTTAGATGAGTATGATATATAGGCAAAGTATGTTATGTTTAATCGATATGCTATGTGACATAAAGCATGAATGAGAAATTGATGTGTAAGATGAGTTTACGTGTTGATGTTAAGTGAAATATGAATGATTGGAAGTGGTGGAAAAGGTTTGTAATGAGTTTAGGCTTTAGAAAGGAGTAAAAGTGCAAGGGAAGTTGAATATACTGGTCTAGGATCGACTATAGGTCTTTTTACAGATATAATATAAACAGACATATTAGACCAAGATCAACTATAGAGCTTCCATAGTCGATGTTGTTAAGGAACGAAGGAAAAATTCTACTAGTCCAGGGTCGACTACAGACTTCCCATAGTCGACCCTAGGCTACCTAGTCAACCAAAATCTAGCTTAAAAGCGCTAAAATTGAAAATTTCTTTATGTTCGCTTAACTCCTCATCTCTCTACCCATTTTCGCTCAACTCTCACACCCTTAAAACCCATTAAACTACAATCATAAATCATGGATTTTGAGTGTTAAAGGAAGGAGTTTTCACTTCCTAAAAGCTTGGTTTGATTTCTACACTTTCTCTCTACCCATTAAAAACCCTAAATTATAAATGAGCACTTGGAGTTGTTTAGAGCAAATTTGGAGCTAAGAATTGTGCAATCTAGCCTCTAAGGTATGGGTTTAACTCATTATTAAAGGATTTGAGCTTATATGCTGGATTGAATAGGATTTGGTTATTTTAGAAAAGTTGGCAGTTTTTGAAAATTGGGATTTAACCAGTTTGTGATATTTTGATGTGTTTAAGGGGAGATTGAGCAATTTGTTGGCATTTGTGAGCTAAAAGATGGTTTGAGGCTAAGGATTAAAGCTTGGTTGTGGAATAGCTCTAATTTGTCACTATGAGTGGGTTAGATAAATGCGTGTGATGCATAACGCATGAAAATGCACTACATTGGTACTATATTATGTATGTAGGGCTAAATGAACATACCTAGGCTAGAAAACAAATGAATTTATATACAAATATGTATACTTATATATGTATGTTTGTGTGAATGGTATGTGTTGAGATAGTATGCCTTAGTGCTAGCCACGTGAATGGTTTTGTGTATGAACCTAAACTAAGAAGTCTAGAAACTATGATAAACCCTAAGAGCATATTACCCTAGGTGAATGATATATTAAGGGGATTTGATTCGGTAGAATCATCAATGAGCTTATAGATGATTAAAGCTCAACAAATACATTTTGTGATATAAGGTGAATATGTGGAATGATAAAGGCACGATGGCCTCATTGTGGATTTGTGTTCTATTAGAGGGATGAATTCAAACATTGATTTAACTTTTGGATGAGTAAAGTTCCATCCCTCTATAACTGTGTGCTTGCAGGGATGGTGGTAAGATGATGGCATTAATCTCAATTGTGATTCCTGCCTGTGGTGCTTTGATGCCACCCATTTGAGAATACTCCGGGTGATGCCGATGTCAGGAGATTACTTCGATCGATGATTTGATTCTCCGTTAGCTGCTTGGCGTTGTGCATGATTCGATTATTTGTCCGTTGGTTCGGCACGTGTGTGATTTGATTCTCCACCGATTGGCCACCGAGCATGATTTGACTATGTCCAGGGGAAGACCACTCAATGATTTGATTTGGTATGCGTACGATGTGAGATAACCTTGTTCAGGCTTTGATATATTTGAATTGAAATCAATATGATACTCCGATGACTAGAGTGTGCTGTAGAGAGTGATCCGAATGACATGAATAATTTTGATAATAAGTTAAAGGAATTGTGTGACAATATTGGAGACTATAGGGATGACAATATGCCCCTGTAATTGGAGATGTCTGTTAGACTATGTGTATGCACCAATAGTGCAATATTCATTATATGATTTAATTTGTATGATTTTAATTGTTAACACCACTTATTGAGTATTAGAGTACTCACCCATTTGTATACCATGTGCAGATAAATGATATATAAACATGGCTTAACATCGTCATTTAAAGGGACAAATTTTGGCATCTTGAAGGTTCTCCACCCCAATGGTGCACTCCATTGAGTTTGGTTTGTACTAGCTTTCATAATTTGAAATTTTAAAGTTTAGGAAATAGTGTATTTCAAATGTTGTACGCACTTAGTGCCATGTAATATTGTGTACTAAGGGTTGTTAAATGCTCACCCACCTTGAATGCTCATTCTATGGCCTTATGGATATTTGTATGAGCCATGTGGCAGGGATAATGAATTATGTTAAATTTAAATGTTATTTATGAATATTTGGTTATGAAATTACTTGGCTATGTGTTATTTGATTTCAAACTCTGAGACTTGTTTGGGTCTAGTGGACTTGTCTGCTGGGCTCATGCGCTAATCACAGACCCCCAGATTTGGGTCGTGACACTAAAAGTTGGGTGGTAGGACTTAATTGAAAGAAATTATAAACTTCAAGGAATTGATTAAATGTGTTCAATTAGGTTCTAAGTAATTTTTATAATTAATATAAAAGTTGTATTAAACCTAATTGCCTTTATATAAATTATGTTATGTTGCCCTAAAGTGTGTGTGCATGTAGCAACACTTGAGAGGTAAGAAAAAAGAGAAAACCCCGAAATCATTTCACCTCCCCCTTTCTAGAGGTAAGAAGAGAGAAAGAACCCCGAAATAATTTCACCTCCCTCCTCCTTAGCCTTTCATCTTCTCTGCGATGAAAAATTGAGAAACCAACACCTCTTGTACCTAGATGGCATCAATCTTGGCAGCAAGCAAACTCCCAAAATTACCTTTGGTGTTTTTCTAGATTGCATCTTACATGCATCACCATTGGAGATCGCGAGGTTTGTAAAATTAGAAGTTGGGTGGGATGGGATGTCCTTTGAAGCACAAATTGTTGTGGGATTCTAGATTTAGACATCAAAACAATTAAATCTATATTAAACAATAAAAAATGACCTTATTTGAAGAAAATTTTTCAAGTTTCCGTTGTGTTTCCCAACATGCAGCAATTCTAAATTTGTAGAAACACTTACAACAATTCTATACTGTGAAAAGCTTGCAACATCACCTGTCAGTGGCGGAAGCCCTTCACCCATAAACTGCCCAGCGATGATGTCAATTGTCCCAACTAAATGCCATTGCCCATCTCCCATCAGATGCTCCAACACCACCTAAAGGTAAATTGGAACGATGTATGAGAACATTTTACTAAATTGCTTCGCAAGGATAGAGCTAACCAACTAAGCATTTCTTATAAGAAAAGCCTAAAGTTTAGAACTGCTTCAAGTATTTCTACACAATAATTAGTGCCAAACATTTTTATAAGAATAAAAATTCTCATACCAAAACTTCTCCAAGCATCATAAGCAATAATGTTAATAAATATAAAAAAAATTTAAAAGTTTAATATTAACTACCTTGAAGATCTATTATTATTATTATTATGATTGTTATGACAACGAATAAATTTGGTTTAATTTGGATTTCTTCTAGAATGGGTTTAAAGATTTTAACATTCATCTGGATTTAATTTGATATTTTATTTATATTACAAGGGATTTGAACTTATTCAGTAAACAATTTCAACTTGTGCTTCTTTTGAACTTTTAACTCGAATTGATTTGAACTTTCCTCTGTCTAATGGACAGAACCAAACCTGAACCCATTTTGTACAACTCTACTGACATCATCCAACTGAAACGGAGTCAAATCTCATAAAAAACCGAACCCAACACCCTCATTCAAGTTGATTTCTCGGCCTTTGTAGCTCTGCTTAGCCCAAGCTATCACACTTGGGCTTAACATATAGCCATTGGCCGCAAAAGACAGCAACATTACTCTGCAAATAAACACCATTTAGGGCCGAATAAAATAGAAAAGAAAAGAGCAATTTCCTTGAGCACATATAGAGATTACTAGTCCACTATTATGAATTTGCTTTTCACCCACAAAAGATTTGCACACCATGCGTCTAAGCTATTACCTGAATCAGTGTGTGACTAAGGCACTAATATACATATGTCTGCATCCACCGTAACTTATCTATGGAGATATTCTAATGGAATGTATATAGGATATACGTTTTTTGAAATTTACACTTATCTTCATTAATTTTTCTGTATCACAGTAAGAGTTCATTTAGCGGAACAAGGGCAATACACCCCACTGATGCAGAAATCCCTCTCCGGTGGTGACCTCTAGGAGCAGTAGGACAAGCACTGCAAGCATGGCCGCTCTACCATTCCAAGTTTCAGCACTTTTCGTCCAACCCCATTCCCAAACAGTCACAGGTGGTGGAAGCTCCCTACGTTGTGAATCATATGCTGCCAACAACTCTTCCACACTGCCAAGCGGAACTAATGACTGCAGAAAATAGAAAGATCTCCGATAAACTAAGCTAGCATTATGCAAGTGAACCAACCAAGTAAAATTTTTCAGTATGACCACTGTAACAAATGTTCATTCATTTATCTATCACAAAAGGACCATGAAAAAAACTCTCCCATACTCTTCTTTGACCTATATAACAAATGTCTTTTCTTTGGCACATTCCACATTCCATGTTTAACTTGAACCAGCAGAAAAATGGAGCCAGACGTTCTGGTTCCAAACCAAACTTATTTCAAATTCAACTCATCACTTCAACAGTTAAAAGGTGCCATGTAATTTTATGAAACAGAAATTTCTACTAGTCTGAAGTTCCTTTTAGGGCCATTTTCACAATCAATTGCAAAAAGAAGGGTTTTTCGATCTACCTCATGTCTTTTTCTTTTTCTTTTTTTTTTCTTTTCTTGTATGGTTAAGTTTGAGGGAGACTTTTGATCCAATTAGCTATGCTTTAAGGCATTGGCCTTAATTTTCAGTTTATTAAAGCAATTTTTAAGTTGACCAGTTCTCTTTTGCTCGACCAAATGTGGCAGAAAAGTCATTTTTGTATTACCAAACAGAGCCTAAGCGTTTGGATTTTGTAGAATAACTAATGTTTAGGATCCTTGTAAGACTGATAATTTCGCATGCTAGATCATTAACAGTAGAATTAAAGTGTTATCTAGTTGTTGACTGAGGGGGATGATTTCAGCTTGTGTCCTTTTCAGAGGCTATGCTTACTTTAAGTACAGATTGGACCAAATGCTTGAACTGCAAGAGAAACTTTTATGTGATAATAGAAAAGTGATCAAAGTTGAAATGAATCACAGAATCATGGTATGAAAGAAGGTAATTGCATATAATGCATTCAAAGGATTTAAGAAAAATCAATCTTATGGCCATCACCATGCATTCATACACACCTAAAGCGGTGTGTATGTTTGTATGTGCCCTGTGTATGTGTGTATCTATACTAATTTATAATGCCAATAGGTAGGGAAGTGTTACTCCAACATGATATAATTTATCTAAATATTTAAATTGAGAGTCTTATTCAACTAACCATTTCCCACAACTTCTCCAATTTGTTCTCTTTTAATTCTACATTAAGTGAATTGTTACCTTCTGACATTTCTCTCATTTTTCCTATTTTCTATTTTGTGCTTGCTTAAATTAATTGTAAACTTTTACCAATAAGTTATTCTTACAAATAAAGTTTCTTAAATAAAATAAAAAAAAATTTAATTATTAACCACACATGTAGAGTGTGCATCGTAGGTTCACGTGTGTGTGTGTGTCGCATATCACTTCTTATATCCTTTTCTGCAACATTATTAGTTCATATTCTTTACATTTTATGACTAGAAATTTCTATAGAGCTAAACCCCTCTCTCTAGAGTGTAACAATTAAACATTTAAAGACGAAGAATGCCATGTAAGATGCAAGTGACAGGCTGTTGGATTTGGTCCATACACAGATATATTTGGTTGTGTTAAATTTGCATACCAATTTTCACCCTTATATGTATATTCTACTGCCCCTAAATCTAATTCATTACTTTTCTGCCTAGAAATTATTACAGAGCAAAAGCGTCATTCAGATTAAGGCCCTGCATGTTATGTGAGATGCAAATGTCAAGCTGTTGGATTTGGTAGTGGAAGCTTTTCTTCCTACTTTTCAATTAACCCATCCTAAGACAACCATCTCCATAATGCACAAAAAGCGGACTCAACAACAAATATGCTTTCCTTCACTAAATGCATGCATATACCACTTACTTACATGTATTGAGCATTAAATATTATATAAACCTAAGCCATATTTCTAAGTTTTAGGTAAGGAACTCTTCAACTTAAACAATTTTTTCTGGAAAGTAGTAAAGGTACCTGTCTAGCTTCAAGATTTGAAACTGCCATAGCACCAACATATGGAAGACTCTCGATCACAGCATCTGCCAAGTCTGAAATGAACATTGGTTCGCATCCTAGTGCAGGAACACGACCCCAATTTTCTATACCAGATTCAAAAGCCAACTCTTTATACTCAACATCAATCTCTTCAAGAGTTTCAATATGCTCACTGACAAAGCTGCAAATCAAATGTCAAAGTTACGAAAAGAAATCACAGCTGTAGTATTCAAAAGAAGGAAGTTATGATTGAACAAAAAATGCAACACACAAATAGCTAGAAGAAGTTAAATAGAAGCAATTTCGATGTCATTACACTATCACATGATCCCAATTTCCTATACCAGATTCTAAGCCAACTCTTTATACTCAGCATTAATCTCTTCTAGAGTTTCAATATGCTCACCTACAAAATAGTGAATCAAATATCAAAATTTTGAAAAGAAATTGCAGTTTTAATAGCCAAAAAAAGAGGTTTTTATTGTAGAAAAATGCCACAGACACAAAGCTAATAGAAGTTAACCAGAAGCTATTCGATGTCACCACTATTACCATCTCAACAATTATAATTACCTAATTGGTACAGCCAGAAGATTTTTAACTCCTTTTCGCCCTAGCTCAACTATTGTCTCATCAGTATAGGGCTTCAACCATTCCACAGGCCCAACTCTGCTCTGCAAGAACATTAACCAACCATTAACAAAAGAAGGTGCCTTTACAGAGAAACATTTGCTAGATATTTTAACAAAAATCATGTGGAAAAAAAGGATAGTCAAAAAAATATATAAAACACGCATCCAGTTAGAGGTGGAAAAACCTTACCCAACCTAACCTTACTCAAATCTATGGAACAATAAGATATTTAAAATTGTGTCCAACAAAAGGTGGCAAAACCCAACCTGACCTGCTTTAATTGAAATTCAACCAGGCCCAACCTGACCTATACCAGAAGTGACTCATATTCAAAACAACCTAAATCCCAATCCTAACTCAAAAAAAAAATTCTATATTTTTTGGTATATATGAAGCAGCCTATAGGGGGAGCAAAGTTTTGAATCTTAAATCATAACCCTTCTAAAGAGGAGTAACAATGCTACAGTACAAATGTGACACGAACCAGCTTGAATTAACTTCACAAGTCAACAACCCAAGCCTGACTCTAACCCAAATGACTTGGAAAGTAAAAAATTTGAAATGACCCAAAGTCAAAATGACTTGACCTAATCCCACAATTCCAACTACTATAACAATCAATTGAAATGAATTAAAATTTAAAAGTATTCAATCAAATGTTAGAAGAACTTCCTCACTAAAGGCAAGTCTATTAGATGGAAGAAGATGAAAATTCTTTAATATCTAACCCAAAACCACTTGACGATAAATGGTGAGACTCAGCTTAAACACAAAAACATAACAAACCCTTAAATGAGCAGACTTTGCTTCCTAAGTAGGACCAATAAACACTTTCCCTTTTAAGTAGGCTTAGTAAACAATTGAGACAAACGGGCTTATCCGATGCACTATGAAAACAAGACAACGAACACAAACAAATGAACATACATGTTAGGATCTAATAACAAGTAAGCATCCAACGTTAAATCAATTGGTATTAGGCAAAGAGGCTCGACCTAAAGATAAAGCTTGAGCAAACCTCGAACTAAACTGATGTGGGGTAACACCACCTGGTAAGAGCCATCTCCCATATTCAAAGCCAAGGTAGCATGTAATTGGACACTTGACAATTGCTAATAAAAGAGTTCAATGGTATTCCTAATTTGTTAGAGTAGGTATAATCAAAAAGAAAATTAACATTCATTGAAGTGGCTAAATCTATGTTAACCGCACTTGCCTACGTGTTTGAGTATCTGATTCACCTATTATCCACCACATCTTTGAACTTGCAGATATGGTTAAAAAGGATCTATTAGTAAACTACTGGTGCATGGGTATGTTGTATGAGATTAATAAGATAAACAATATACCTATGGGAACAAATATTAAAATTGCATTTCTAAATCTACATCAATAAACACGGTATATAGATTTAGTATATCGACCACTCAAGAGCAATTACTTTAATATATTTTACCTTCTACCTATACTTTAATGAAATTTGTTGAAAAACAATTATATAGCACAGCCAACCAAAAATTTCCGCCTAACTAAAGCCTAAGGTCTTAATTAATTTTCCAAATAATTATGCTACTTGTTTTGCAACATATCAAGAAACTAAATTTTTATATATATGAGGGAAGCTATATACTTTCTTTCTTGAAGCAAGTGTATTAACTTTTTATTTCTTCAACTTTTAATTAATTTTTTAATAAATGTTGCAATTTTCATGAATAGTAATATTTAATTTTGGCCCAAGTACCCAAACCCTATACAAAGCTAAAAACTCCTAACCACCAAACTATAAATGCCCTAAGTAGACCAAAGAATTCTTTTTCTTTTTTTTACCTTTTTTACAAACTCCATCTCCATTTTCTCTCCTCCCCTTTCCTCTCAGTTTTTACCTTGTTTGCAATCCCATGCTCTTTTTTTATTCCACAATGCTTTATATTTTCTTCTTCCCTTCATCTATTCCCTTTCAAATATTCTCCAGAAACTCAAACAAATCTAAAATATGGAGAGATTGTTGGTGAATAAGCCGACATATTTGTTTAAGCCAAAACAGTAACTCTTACCTTCTACATGCCATCTCCAATAATTGTATTCTGACAAATTGATAACTCTATTATACAGAGTTATCTTATGCATCTTTGAAACCTAAAATTGAGCTAAGTCCTCTAGTTTTAAGTAATCCATAGGTAATTTTATGCTCAATAGTAGTAATTTAATTTATGTCATGGCATTTATCATTTATACAATTTCAATGAATTTTTTGTTAAAATCCCTCATTTCAGCCTCTAATTAATTGATTTTCTGATATTGAAAGATGTGCAAGGACTTGGAACTCAAATGGCAAAGGATGGTTCAAGTAGCTTAAGAAAGACCTCTGAACATGCTGCAATGTTTTGGCATAACTCGAGCTACAGAACTCCAATCGACATGATTCTTAGACCTACGGAAAGCTAAGAGGAAGAGCTACAACTTTGAGGTTTAGCACTTCACCCAGTTCAGAAGGGATTGTGGTCAAATATACGGAGGAAGTTGACTGACTGCAGTCTGTTGACAGAAGCTTGGGCGCCTAGGCACCCAGCTCTCAGCTCCTAGGGGCCAATTGCACTGTCCAGCATGTTCATAATGGCAACAAAACAGAACCTTGGGCACCTTGGTGCCGACATGTAACTCTGCACATTTTTAGCTATCCGATTTTACATCAAATGGCCAACAAAGAAGGTATAAACACAATCCTTTTACGGCTGAAAAACCAGGGTGGATTCAAACACTAATTTCAACAAAAGAAGGCTAGAACCAAGAAGGAAAAAGAAGAGGAAATCAAGAGATTAAAGGATCAAAAAGCTGCTCCAAAGAATTTCTCACTCTAGATTGGATTTTCTCTCTCTAACTGTTTTTGTCGAAATGCTTCATTTTGCTGAGATTTGTGTTTGTATTTTAAATATGTCGAGCTATAACTCTTGATCTAGGGTTATGGTAGATTTTAACATGTAGCTTGGATATTGTGTTGGTTTATTACTTATTTTCTATGGACACATTGATGTTTACTCAACTCTGCATTTATTGCACATTTATTTGCTTGATCACCATTTAAATGTGTTTAGGTGTTTAGATGATACTTGAGACAGTTAGTCTATATTAGACCTTGATTTGGGTAATGTGTGTTCACTACACTTAGAAATGAATTTAAGTGTTTTGATGTGCAATTAGGGCAGACAACACCTAGCTGCCACATATAGTCAATTCTTAGAACCTTGGATTAAAGAACTTAATTTAGTTGTTTCCTATAGACATATAGTGATTCAATTAAGTTAGGCAATTGTGTAATATCTCAACGGAGAATTATACATGCTTAAAGATTCTATACTAGCATCAATTTCCATTAAGATTAAGTAATTAAGCAAACTCAATTCCAAGTGAAATATTAAAGGATACCACAATCCTAGACTATTAAACCATTACTTCCACCTCAATTTATTATTTGCACTTCTTAGATTAGGATTAGTTAATTAGATTACTTTTTAATCATTTCTCAAAATTTGGTGCTTGGATAAAATTAGCTTGTTTAATTTTAGTAATTAGCAACAACTAGTAAACCAACTCCTTGTGGAGATGATAACTCACTCACTACTGTATTACTTGTTGACAATCATGTGCACTTGCATGACACCTTGCTAAAATTGACAAAAATCATAAAGTAATTTGCCTTGATAAATTAGCAAGCAACACAAATTGAATGGGTGAGTACTAGTGTGTCTGAAATTTGTGGCAAGTCAGCCACATATATATACTTATATTCATGTTTCGTACAAACATGAATGCTACAGCTTAAAGTCCTGAGTTCATGCAACTTAGGGCTCCACACGAGACACGTAAACTTACTAGCATAAATATGACTAGAATTGTTACATAGACAAGCATCCATGTCTATATTCTGGAATAAACATCCATGCTTGTTACCTTAATTATCAAATATCCATGTCTAAGTCCTGGAGAAAACAACTTTACTGTGTCCAGAGGTTTCCTTTTATTTCTGACACTAAAAGTTCACATTGTACTAGATCTCAAGCATCTAGGAGATTATGGATGATAAACTTCATCCATGATTTAAGTATTGTTATGAGTTGTGACAATCAATTTTGGACTTGGCTAATACATGCCTATTCCAGAAAATTCAGCTTGATCTAGTATTTTATTTTTCCAATAAGACTCAATTTTCAACTGCTACGTCCAATTTAGTACCTATCAAGGCTTTTCAGACATACAAGGAGCAAGGAATTGTTTTTGAATCCCTAGAGAACATAGTTAATTATTAATCAACTCTTGAGTCTACATCTCCAACATCTTTCACCTTGACATATCTGATTGCTACAAACAAAATGCCAGTCAATCCTTTGATCCTCTTATTTTGAGCTTTTTACTTATGAAGTCTGCTCTGCCATCATCTTCACAATTGCTGACTGCTATTTAACTACCTTTTGGTTAAAGTGCTTTCAAAAGATGGCTAGAGACATCTTACCAAGATTAACAAGCAGTCATCTTTGCAGATCTACCTTAGTAACCAAAACACTGACAATTGATAGCCAACTATACATGGAAAAATGTAAATATTAGTACAGTAGAGGCTGACATGTACTTAACACTAGTCTTCATCAAACCAAAATAATAATGCAACAGTGGAAAAAGGATATTTAGCATTATCCACTAGCACACACATGTTCTGATGAGAAAATAGAATCTTCATTAAGCATCTACGTTGCAACACTCACAACTTAATACAAGATTTGACAATCCATCCACATATTCCAGACATACCACTTATCAGCATTTGTAACAACAAAATTAAGACGAGAAAACAATGAGAGAGATCACAGGAGTAATATTCCAAATAGAAGTACCTGATAAGCAAGAGCGTAGGCATTAGTGATCTTTCTCTTGTCTAACTCCTCTATTATCAAATCCACACATTCTTCCATCTCTGCCTTGTAAGGATCACCAGCCTCTTCTACATATGCAAGTGGCACCCCGTGTGCACTAAAAAATATCACCACCTGTAATACCTAGTCTCAATTAAGTATGTTGACAAACATTCTAAGACAATAACTGATTAAATTACCAGAGACAAAAGCTCTTAAAATAACAAGAATATCAAGGAAGCACAATTTTTAAAAACAGATTTTCATCTTACAAAAAAAGTAAACAATAGCCATGGCCCTCTGGACCACACATTACCCAAGGAACTTTCCGAGTGATCTTTGAGAGATCAAGAGACTTAACACAGAACTATATCAGGGGAAACATATCATATTGACTTCTTATGTAGTGAAAAAAAGTTTTTAAGTGTAAATAAGTAGACAAAAGGAAGAAAAAAAAAAGGAAAAGGACTAAACACCTTAACACATACAGAGTGAATTTAAACGTAACTTGCAATTTAAAAGTTTGGTTCTGAAATATTCTAAAAAGCAGGCACATCAGATATTCAAAAAATTAGGAGCCAAAAAGACAGGAAACCAAATGCAACCTCAGTCGTCAAAGCCTCTAGCTGCAAAGCAAATTCAGATGATAGGAGACAAGATATGTTCAACCTTTAAGTCAGTTTATCATTTCGACTTGTCAATCGAGACCAAAATCAAACTTAAACGAACTTTAATTGGAACTTGTTTATGCATCAAAGCAGTGCTTGCAATCTTAACGCACAAATTTGAGACAATGTGCTGATAACTAATAAACAGCAGCTCAGGCAGAGAGATAATGAGTTTGGGAGAGATTATGGTATTTGCTTCAAAATGCTGAATAAAGCTTAGTGTAGATGGTTGATAGACAACTATGGTAACAAAACATTAATACAGGCCAAATCTGGATAAGACTGGCAAGCAATAGATTTTGATTAGCAGAAAGTTACCAAGAGAAGGATGAGCATAAAGTAAGTAGAGGTGGTATAAACAGATGAAAATTGATGAAGACTGAAATAAAGCACATGCTGGACAGCTGGAGTGTCCCTCAGACATGCCTACATTAGATAGACTAACTAAAAACAGAAAAAACTGTTCTCTTTTGCAGATTAGGCTAATAGGGCATGACACGTTTGGATCTTCCTGGTAGTTGGCACGGAGAGCAACATGGTGCAAATATAGCTGGACACGCTTGAATGGTGCATAAAGAATTTGTTTTGTTAAGAGGTGAACCTGCTCACAATATTGCTTCACACATTGCTCCACCAGAAAATAGGCAAGAGGTTGAAGAATTGGCTACACCCTTCTTACTTGAGGATCATTTAGAATTAATTGAAGTGTATGCTAAGCCATTACTACAGAGCTGACAGACACCATGTGGGCCCTAGCTCAAGAGCAAGTGTCACAAGAATTTGAAGAGTTTCAGGCAGAGACAAACCTATCTTTTGAATATGGATTTAATTATGTTCATAATGAGGAAAGCTCAGTGGCAAGCTACAGTTATAGCAATTGTGTATGTGGTGGTAACAACTTTAGCACCAAGAGTATAGCTAATACTGCAGTGGAAACATTCGGTGAGATTATAGAAAGTCACAGATGGAATGCAGTTGTGAGTGATGACAAACAAAAATGCACTTGATGTTGGGTTTAGAAGAACTCAACTAGGCTGACTCCAGTCAGTTAAAGTTAGGGATGTTTTAAGTGGGACACCGCAAGATAGGTGTTGGATTGATACCATCCACTTACTAGGAAAAGACCCAGCCATCGTAGTATAAGCTGTCATTGGATGAGTCCCATTTACTTATAAAAAAAATGCAAATTCCTATCAGTGATGACTCCAAAGACAGAACTTACCACACTAAAAGTCAACACCATATTTCCAAAAAGTTTCATTTAACTTGTAGCACCAGAGTCACAATGAAAACCCCTTGAGATCCCAGAACTAGAAAAGTCTACCTTGGCTAGAAGATTTTCAAACAAGCAAATGTTTGCAAAAGAATGCATGTCCATTCAGCCACATTAAGGAACTTAGTACAATGTTTTCAAAGAATTATTTTGACAGATTACTTAAGCTAATTTCTGCTAGTATTAAGCAAAAGATATAAAAGTGTTTAATAAAAAAAACTAACTGTTTGTATTCTACACTATAACTATTTTCTTAACACTAACAAAAAAGTTAAACCCTATGATCAATTCACTTAGGCTGAGCACACGGACAACAATATATGCCCCACTTTGTTCGCTAACTATAGTCTTTAAATAAACACAAACAGGTAACTTAACCCCATCATCCAAAGGCTTAGCCTGAGCATCTAGGCACCAATATCTGCCTCACTTTGTTGCACAGAAATTTTATGTCAAGCAAGAAAATCAAACACTCCAATACTCAATTATATATGTGCTTCTAGCAATTAATTAACAACCAATGTTTTGCAACTTGACCATATTATCAAGCAGAAATAGTATATACAACTGCTTGAACTAAAATTTCCAACATCATTTGTACCATTTCTGCAATACATAATTTTGGCTAAATAAAATATACTCTTAGACTGATTCATATAATATGAAAACCATAACTAAAGATCCCTCCCAAAACAGATAGATATTCAAACTGTGCCCAACTGCCAAATAGCGGAACCTACATAGTTATCTCATGGGTTTTGATCAAATTCTGGCAATCTCCAAAAGAAACAAATAGAATAGAAAAATGTGCCTACTGATATCCAAGAAGACCATGAAGAACCTATGTAGTACGCACTAATGAGGCAAAAGAGTGATCTTACTTCTGTGAATAAAATACAGACTGAGTTCCCCAGAGACTTTACTTCTACTTATATTGCATTGAGTAATAAAACCACAACACTAAAATCCAATGATGCAAAAAGCAATAGTTTCAAAACCATCTTTAAATGTAAGATTTAAACTGCCTGTTTTCATTTGATTGCTCAAAATAGTAAATGCTGAACTTCAAAAGGCTAATTTTTTTAACTTCTGGAGAAAGTAAAACTTGCTCCATTCAAGACAATCATCAGGTAGCTTTCAGGTGTACAATAAACCGATGCAACACATGACAAGAGATTAAAAACTCACTTGAAAATACTGCATCAGCTTCATAAGAAAGGTAGATGTAACACCCATTTTTCTGATGTGTAAATCAAACAATAAATAACAAGACTTCAACACATGTTAATTCAGACCATGACCAGCCATGAAAGTTGCCAAAGTTCTCAACAAGACTACAAGGTTTTAAAAGATGTACCTTTTCTGGATGGTCAAACTTCTGCAGCTCCTTTTCAATTAAATTTGCCATAGATTTTATATATCCGTCACGTTGATACCAGGAAGGTATGACTGTATGCCGCATGTTCACTAGATACTCATCGTCACTGATGAACCAATTAATTAGATTGTCAGAGAAAGAAATTTGATTTAACATTATACTCCAAGATTAAATCAAAGAGTGCAAGACAAGTGCCTTATTCCTCACCGGAATATACTTTCCAAGAGTCGAAGACTTGAACCACTAGTTGATATTGAGAATTGTGGATAAAGAGGAAGTACAACAAGCTTTGTTATTCCATCTTTTTTTATCTACAAGTTTGTTAGGAGGAAAATAAAAATAAGTATATATCACCAGAACCCACGTCCATATAAGAGAAGGCAAAGAAAAAAGAAAGATCATTTTTATAGTAGATTGACTCATTCACATGCAACCCAGATAGACAGCAGAACTACCAAAAAAACCTTGCAGGTTATCACAGGTAATACCTCCATAAAAACCACAAGAAGCAATATTTCTGTCAAAATGGGGACTCATTTTTAAGAATAAAAGAAAACCAGCAGTAACCCAACTTGAAGTGAGCTGAATTCAATCGTACAAAATAGTCATTCCATAAATTCAAAAGGAAAGCTATAAAATTTAACATGTGCAAACTGAATTAATATCTTACAGTTGAAACATTACAACAAACAATAATTTGCAACTTCACTTGTTTATGCATCGTGAAAAGTATTAAAGAAATTTTAAATCCAATCAAGTTTGAATAAAATTTTATGTCAGAACCTTCTAAAAGGTGCAGTAATATCTACGTCCAACAAGTTCAAATGATTGCGAATCAGTGGCTAAAGTTAACTGCTTCAAGTGGCATAAATATACACCATCCTTCAGTGCTCACATTGCAAGCATGCACATGCACACAAGGACATGCAGATTACTCCCTCCATCCTAAAATAACAGTCCATATTTATTACTTTCATAAAACATCCAATAATTCCTTTCCCTGTCCAAAAGGTCGAAATATTTCCGTTTTACCTTTTGTCTCTTGCACTCATTACTGGATCTAAATGAATGCACTCATTTTCAAAGACACATAATATGAAAACATGAGCATGTGGCAATAGACAGAAGAACACTGAATACTAGTTTTCTGAAATGTGTTAGTCAAAAATGAACTATCAAACATTAATTTCGTACACCAGGAGTACCAACACACCATATAGAGGATCTAGGAAGAGCGCTCAAATTTCCAAAGATCCCTGCCATTGTCTATATTTACAACTCAAATAACTGATAGATCAGATTTCAATTAAATTACGATCAAAATGAAGCTCTAAAAAGTGCAAAGTTTCATTTATCATTGACATGCTCATGCATAATAAACCAGAAAGCATTGTTATGAAAAGCAATGACAGGGGAATAATGAAATAAGAAAAGGCAGCCACATTAGAATCTCACACATTTATACAAAAATAAGATTAAAACTAACCAAATACCTGCTCAATAGCTTCTTCAGTGAATGGATGCCAGTATCGCATACCAACATACACTTTGGCAGGGACATTCTTTGCCCAAAGTGACTTTCTCAATTCTTCAGCCTGAAATGGGTAGTGATAGGGCAATAAAAATTATATATAGACTGACAAGAGAAAAACTAACATATATGAGGTCAATATTGCTTAAACTACACATTTCAGTTTTGATAGCCTAGAAGCCATCCAAAACATCAGCCAACACAATGTCAAGTATTTATGTGCTCTTTGAAATCTTAACTAAATTGGTGGAGAAAGGTTAAACTCATAAATGTTATAATGTAACAGTTAATCAATTTCCACCATTTGGGCTCATTGATTTTTT